CGTTCTCATATGTCTGAATTTTGATGTTGTGATTGTTAGGGTTTGTGTTAATTAATTGTTTCAGATTGGGTTTTTTTCTTTCTGTCGAATTTTTCTGCCTTTGGGTTCTAGGTAGGTTTATGGACTCTTACGAATGTGCGCTTGTCTCGTGGAATATTCAATTTTTAGTGTGTTGGAATTGCGATGGTTATCCCTTTTGCGTTTTTGTGCTTGTATGTATACCACTTAAATTTGAGCTCCCCAGCAAGATTTAAGTTATATAGACATTGATTTTTTGGTAACCCAAGATTTGCATGCTTTATTTGTTGGATATTGTCCATGTGTATTTATTTAACTTTGATGATGTTTTAATATCCTAAACTTGTTCACTCACTCCAGGGAATAAATATGAAAGAGTTGCTCAGATCTTGGCGGATATTCTTATCTTCGCAAGGAAGAATGTTGGTGAAGGATCATCTTTGATTCTAGTCTCAAAACCCTTCAAAGATGCCAAGTTTGACAGTGTCTGTGAATCTTTGAGAGACCAAGGCTTCAATGTTTGCCGTGCAGACTTGGATTACATGGTGACATTTGGAACTGCAGCCTGGTCTTCTAGAAGAATGGTAGCTGGATACTGTCTATGTGACATGTGCCTTTCTTATATCAGAATGGCTCCTTCTGAATGCAAACATGTTTAGGATCATGAAGCAATCAGTCCCCTGTTATAAGGTTTAGTGAAAGGCTTTTGTGTTATTTGTTGGAGAACATGTAAGTGTGGATTTTGTAGCCAACTGTTTACTCTTGAATAGGTTAGTCAGGTTAAGTATGCCACAAGATAGTTCTTTTGGTTTTATTATAATAAACAAGCAGAATTTGGCTAGTAACCATATTTTCTCACATAATTATGAAACACGAAATAATCAAGGCCTAATTAGTGGCGGGGTTGATCCAAAAGTCAACGATTATGGCTACTTGATGAAAAATGATGATTATGGATGCATTCATTCATACATACCACACTTAGCTAAATATAAATTAACATATCATTTACAATAATTAAAGATAAAAGGATCTATAAATTATAAATAATCGTCGACTAGAATCCAATTTCTTACGCAGCTTTGACTGATAAAATAACAGCTCAAGCTTTGAATTCTCATCTCAAGAACAAAATCCATGTG